CCACGTCCGTGGGGACCTGCCCGAGCAGGGCTCGACTCGCTCGAAAAGCGAGGTTTGAAACAAACAGGGCTGGGGAGGGGGGAAAAAACACCGAACCAAAACAGAAAGGAAATGGTCTCCTTGCCATGCGGTAGGTCGGGAAGGATCAGAACCTGAAGTCGCCGGAGATCCTGCCTTTGGGAAGAGAAAACCTGGCGCCCTGCACAAGTTGTGCTTGGCAGGGTGGGGCTGGGGTGATGGTGGAGATGGAGGAACAGGCGTCAGGGGCCCTGGGCTCTGCACGACTAGGGCCAGACCAGGCACATCCCAGGCTTTGTGTCTCCCGAGTCTTCGAGTCCCTCTGCTCCTCCAACAGGCTCAAAAATAACTGGGAACTTCCCCTGGGACTGAGGCTATGGGATAAATTCTGACCTTCCAGCAGCATGTGAGATGTTCACTGAATAGCCCTGGTTAAAAATAATACCCTTGTGTTCTGTACCCTCTGCATGGAGGTAGGAAGCATTCGTGCCACGGGCATTGACAGCGTGCCCACGGCAGCAAAAGGGCCTCTCTGGGCCCAAAATACCACCCTGCTCCACTCACCAGGAGCTTGTCTTCCTTTAACTCCCTGATTTTCTGGGATAGACGAGTAGACAAAACCCAGCCACCTCCTTTCCCCAACCCCTGGGGTCATTCGGGACATGAAGCTAGTCCAGGGAAATGCGATGGGATCCGGGATTGCTGCCTCCTTAGGTGCCTGCAGTGGTCTGATTGCAGGTCTCCAGCCAGGAAGGGAGGACATCTCCAAGATGCAGGGCAGCCCGGGGACCTGGGAAGCTGCCTTGGCTCTCCCTCTCCTCCAGACCAGCTCTGGTTCCTGGCTGTTGCTACGGGAGATGGAGAAGAGCAGTTGGAAAGCTTCCCGTAAGTGGCACCAAAAGAAAGTATCAATCTTGCCATCCCAGGGTGGCAGAGCCCGACTTGCCAGCTGCTAAATGCTGGCCCAGCAAGGGTGGAAACTCCTGGCCCGTGGGAATGCACAGGGTACCAGCCCTGCCTTCACATCTTCTGTGACCTGATGATTAGACCCAATTATAAGCCAGTGCTTTGGACCAACTTAGCTAAAGATCAGAAAGGAGAGTAATTTTGTTTCATATCATCACCACCGCAGAACACAATTAAATGGCTCCGCAAAGTTTTAACACTAGTTATGACAAGAAATTGAGGGATAAAACAGAAATCCCCACACCCAAAGCCAGCAGCTCTGCCTGGCCGAGTCACAGGAGGATGTACTGAGGCTACCCAAGGCTCAGAAGATGACCTGTGGGCTGCCTTACTCAGCCAGACTTGCTCTTTCTCAGGCGTTTTTTAATTGGGTTGCAGCAATTAAGGCACCAGAATTCATAAAAAAACCCCAAACGAAGAGCCCAGCTGGTTGTTTCAACCATCCTCCTGTGGATTTCTCCCAGCCATTGGAGAGCCACCTTGCACGGCACCCACCCAGCGGGTACCAAACGGACCAGACCCTGCTCCTCCAAGCCTGAAGGCAGCATGCCAGGTGCTGGGGAGGGGGGAAAGGCAGCACCCATCCTCCAAGCCCAAAGGCAGCATGCCGGGTGCCAGGGGGAAA